CCACAGGGCAACATTCACAGGAGGAAATGCAGGACACACAGGAGTCCATAACTATGAGGGGCACAGGGGAGGGTTGGGCTACTGGGCAGGGAGGGGAGGAGACTGGGTTAGGGTTGGGGATGGTAAATGGGGAGTGAAACTAAATGTACACATACACACATACACACGCACACACACAAAGTATATCTATAACTTTTGCATTCCTTGAATAAACCATTTGAATTTCTAAACCTGCTTTAAAATAGTGAGACTGGTTTTCTTGTTAGAAGGGTACCTAGACATTTTGACCAATGTCCTGGGCACAGAAATTTATATGGTCTCCCAGGGACAACAATTCCTGTGAATATATACTCACCAGCCTCAGTACATTATAGCTCTCCTATGCATGCTTGAGAGTCCTTGGGTGATGCAAACAGGTGTTAACTGAAAGGCTGAACATTCAAGCCCAACCAGAGGTCCCTCAAAAGAAAGGCCTGGAGATCTACTTCCAAAAAAGTCACCCAATGAAAACCCTACGGAGCATAGTTCAACTCTGACACACATGGGGTCGCCATCAGTTGGAATAGACTCTATAGCATCTGGTTATGTGTGTTTAATTTTATATGTATTTATAAAACTCCTATTGGGTGCACAACTTTAGGTACTAAACACGTAAATATCAGATGATAAAGCTACCAGAATATCAATAAAGGTGAGATATGAAGAGTGAGATGAAAGGGCAGCTGATGGTAAGAGAAGCCAGAAGAAAGAGGTCTCAGAAGAAAAAGAGATGAAACAGAAGCAGCCATCTCCTCCAGGAATGGATAGCAGATGGGTCAGATTTTCTCTTCTCCATACCTCACCAGATCCCTGTTCCTGTCATATTGGTATTTATAAGCTCTACTCTGGGACCCTTTTAGTACTTTTCCCAAAACTGGCCCAATGCTTTTAAAGATTTAATGTGTTTGGCTGTTCCAAACTAACTGTACTTAAGTAATAATTAATTATCCTGCCCTTTTAACAGACATTTACAGCTGCCAACCAGCTTCTGGTCAGAACGTGCTAACCAGAATTGCCATGCTGAGTTGACATGTTTTCAGCCAAAAGCACAGTAACATGACATGTTAGTTAGCTTGAAGAGGCTCATGTTGGGCAAGTAAACCAGTCTGAAAAGCTTTTTGAAATGCTGATATTAGTCTGCATACAGCTTATTTCTTCATTCCTAGATCACTAAGGATCTAGGACCTCAGAGTGGGAACCTCCATTCGGGTGCTAACCAAAAACTCAGCAGTTTGACCCATCAGCTGCTCCACAGGAGAAAGATGTGGCAGTCCGCTTCTGTAAAGATTTACAGCCTTGGAAATCCTACGGGGCAGTTCTACTCTGTCCTATAGATTAATGAGTCAGAATCGACTCAAAGGCAGTGGGTTTGGTTGCATGATGTATGAAAGGGCTGAAGAGAGATGTGTAGACTTCAACTTTAAGATATGTGCACACCTACGCCCATGAGAAGGAGCCCTGGTGGGACAAAGGGGTTGTGCTTGAATTCCAGCCTAAAGGTTGGCAGTTTGAAACCATCCAGCAGCTTGGCAGAAGAAAACACTTGGTGACCTGCTCCTGTAAAGATTATAGTCACAAAACAATATGGAGCAGTTCTGCTCTGTCACATGGGTTCACTATGAGTTGAAATTGACTCCACAGCACCAAACAGTAATTATCTCTGTGATGTACACTGAATGATTTTCTTAATAACTTCTCTATGTGAGGTGTCCAATGAAGGTTTTTAAAAATTACTTTCTCATATGAATGGCTCTCTGTTCTAAGAAAAGCAGAGAGTAAAGATGAAAAAACAATTATGAGAATGAATGGCAAGAATAGTGCTTGAATCAAGTAGAAGGCTGGTTCCTCTGCTTGAAGCAGAGGCCTCAAGAGCGAGCTGGGGAGAGTCAGATGGCTTAGCACAGCAGATGATCACTAGGAAGGCATGCCAAGATCTTTCCTGCTGGTGAGTGAGTACCTCTACCAATTAATTCTGGTGGTAGGATCCAGGCATCAGTGGAGCTTTTAAAAACTCCCTGGATGATTCCAACATATGTGTAGAACCTTGCTACTCAAAGTGTGGTCCTCAGATCAGTGGCATAGGCATCAGTGGGAGCTTGTCAGAAATGCAGACTCTTAGACCCCACCTCCAACCTAATGAAGCAGAATCTGTATTTTTAAAAGATCCTCAAGAGATTCATGTGCACATTGAACTTAGAGAAGCAGCGATTTAGAATAGTGCCTCAAAGAGTGGTCCCTGAACCACCTGCCTTAAACTCATGGGCTGAGGCAGGAGGTAGGACATTGGGGCCCAGGGGACTTAAGACAGCAGATTTTTGTGCCCCAACCTTGGTGATTCTGTAGGTATGTGGGTGGAGACCTGGAATCTGCATTCTTAATGTGCTCCCAGGTGATCCCTAAGCCTACTAAAGTTTGAGAACCACTCCCAAGAGCAAAGCCAGCAATATGATGGTTGCCTTTTCCTGGACTGCATGGAAGTTCCCTCTGTCAAAATATAACCATTCTCCATGAACAACTGCCTCTTTTGTCATAAGCCAGAAGAAGTGGAATGGTGCCTGGCTACCATTACTGTACATTTTGATCAACGATTCTATAGAAGAATCTTAATTGAACAGGGTGGGGAAGGGGATTTCAAATTTCAAATTCTCCTGGACTCCAGCTTTCTGGAGCCATGGAGGCTGGTTGAACCCCCAAAACTACTGCTCTGAGATAATCTTTAAAATATTAAAGCAAAAATATCCCCTGACTTAGCCAGTAAAGAATGTCTACCTTGAACGTTATGCTTTTTAAAGAACTATTTATATGGGATCAAATTGACAACAGCAATTAAAGTATTAAATAGGAATCTTAGGAGATTGGGCAGTGAGTTTATGTTAATGGGGGAGGAACAACTACAAAAAGGGGAGTGAGAATGGTTCCATCACTTGAAGAACATAAGCAATGTCACTGAATCATATATATAGAAATTGTTGAACGGGTGTATGTTTTGCTGTGTGTATTTGCAACAACGAGAACAAAAATAAATTATATATTTAAAAAATCCAGACAGAAAGGAATTCCTTAATTTCTGTTTCCTTCAGAATTTCAAAGGACTTTGGTTATGAATACTGATAAAATGACTTATTATTATTTTTCTAGACTAGACATCTGCCCGTTAATCAGTTCATGAAAAATTAAATTTAAAAAAAAAATATATATATATGTATAGCATTTGCAGGTGGGGGAATGAGTTGGTGATAAACCACAAGTGCCTCACATCCTGACAAATTCGTGATGGTTCTGCTCTCTGATCTGTACCAGAGCCAGTGGTGGCACTGCCAGCCTTGAGAGTCAAGTCTATCTTTCAGATTGACACAGAACTGGGGTCTCTCATTCTCTTGTTTTAGTGACAGCATAGGTTGTAATTTGAATATATAAACTTTTACCTTACCATATTAGTACTCAGATGCAGCCCTCTTTGAGGGTTTCAAAATGCAGGGTGTAGGAACCAAGAGAAGGGAAGAGGGAATTTCCCTAAGGAGATTTCTTTATTTTACACCAGTCCTTTTTGAAATTTTTCTTGGGCTCAGATCTTTAAATGATAACATGGGAAAAAAAAATGAATCTGGGCATGGAGAATTTGATCAATGTATAGTACTTCCATGTAGTGTTAAAAGCATCTCAGCTCATGTAAGATATTTAAAAGCTTCTATGATAACAGAAGTTTTAAGTGGATTTTATCTCCAAGTACCTAAGGTTCCAAAGTATGGCTCACACTTGACTTGTGACAGAACTGAAATCTTCCTATTTATAAAGTGGAATATAATCGTGACAATTGTAACGAATAATGAAATAAAATGGGAATTCCAATGTGACCTGTATGTAATTATTAAGTCATTACTGAGTTTAAATCAGCAAAGCACAGAAACTTAAGAGTGTGATGGGGTGAAGATTTTTGAGGCGTTGCTTTCAAACACTGTCTTTTGGGAAGTGCAACAGGGCCCCTTTGAGAATCTACTGGAAGCTATGGACTTGCTCCCTAGATGCACACAAACACTTTTCCTAGCAATTTCTGGGCTCCATAGATACCCTGGAGGCCATATGGGGAACAATCTGCAGTCCCCGTATTAAGAACCTCAGCTTTGGCACTGCATTTCTTTTTCAAAAAATTAATCTATACTGGTTTATCCCATTTGGAACCTCTTTAGATCCAGGAGCTACTTTCTGAGCATCTAGGCCCTGTGTAGGCAGGAAAATTAGGGCTGATAGCTTTCACTTAACCAGAAACAATTAAGTCGACAATCTCATGGGGCTAAGCTGAGGCCAATGAAAAGTCAAACACTTGATTATGTCAGGGAAAGAATCCCTTTACAGAAGAAGCCTGAGATCTTTCAGAAATGCCGACTCAGTCCTCTGCGTGCTCCTGCAGCAGGCACAGGTACCAGCAGGCGAAAACTCTTGTCAAAAATCAGGAAGCAAAGTAGGTCACTGAAAACATTGCCCATGACCCTCAATCACCTGCAATGTCAGTTACCAAACAATGTCAGATGTGGAAAAGACTTACTCCTTCATCCCACCCCCACCCCCATTCAAGAGATGAGCAAACTGACCCCAGAGGGCTAAGGTGCTTGCCAAGGTCATCCAGTTGGGCTCATACCCACTGCAGAGGCCTACTGAGGGTAACAAGCAACTGGAGCAATCTGTAAGTTTGAGCCCCCCGCCGCCCTTGTCAACTGGGAGTGGAGGAGTAGGGGGAGAGGGCAGGGATTCGCCGGCTGGCCTTGCCTCGTGCCCCCTTGGACAATGGCAGGAGGACAAGTGCCCCACTCTGTGCTTCCCTCGTTACGCCTCTGACCCAGATCCCTCTCTTCACAACATTCGCTGCCTCGCCAGGTGTAAAGAGGACATCAGGCGCCCTCTCTCTGTACCTCCCTGCCGCCCACTCTGGCGGGGGCGCCACCAAGAGCCGAATCCCCGCCTACCGGCACCATGGAGTAGGTCATCATCATCAGCATGTCCTGGCTTTCTGCGCGGATGTGCGGCGCTGGTTCCCCGCCGTGGCTGCGCTTGTTGCGCGCTGCGCTCGCTGGGTCCTGGGGAGGCGCTGCGGGCCCACGCGGCGCGCGGCTCAGCTCCGCCAGAAAAGCGCGCAAGGCGCTGTCCTCGCGCTGCTCCCGGCCGCGTTGCGCCTCCAGCGCCCTCAGAGCTGCACTCAGCCCGCGCCACTGGCACAGCGCGAATACGGTGCCCGCGGCGTTGAGCGCGGAGAGCACCGCCACTGCGGCCAGAGCACCGCGCATCCCCCACCCAGTACTTCCGCGGCCTCGCTGCGCGCCTCGGACCATGATCTGCGCGCCTTAGGCTGGGCAGGGTAGAGCAGGGTAGGACTCCGCCGCTACCTTCCTGGCAGCCTTTATACGCCCAGGGAACGCCGTGGGCTGGTGGCAGCGGTGTGAGTCACGCCACCCTTAGGCCCTCCTGGCGGCCTGGTGGGGCGGGTGGGGGGCAGCAGTGGTGGCGCCCTAGAAGCCCGGAGGGACAGGCAGGCGGAGAGGAGCGAGTCAAGACAGCCAGCGGAGGAGGGGCGGGCAGTGCCCGTCGGAGCAAACCGGCAAACCCGCCTCTCTCTCCCTTTGCTGCTGCTGCTCTGCCCCTGGTCATTGCCATGGCCCAGACAGGCAGAGCGAGGGTGAGACTGAGGGGGAGAGCAGAAATTCTTATGTCCTGAGAAATCGCTGAATTCCACTCCGTCCCACTTCCACCCCCACCCCCTACTGCTCAGAGGCCAAGGCATGTGCCCACTGCCCCTGGGAGGCCTGCTGCTGGGCCCAACCCTTGGCAGCCTGCCCATTGCTCCTCCCGATATCCCCACGACCTCCCAGGCCACTAAAAACCCCTAGCATCTTTCCCAGGAAGGTGCTGAATGGGGGACAGGGAGACATTTGACATTGGAGGGTTTAAAGGCTGCCATCAGAACCAGAAAAGCCCACACCTTCCTGCCAAGCAGAAGTCATCGTGAATTCAGATTTCCAGGATTTGCAGGCTAAGAACTCTTTCTGGCACCCATACCTGGGAGTGGGCAAGGTGATGAGAAAAGAACTGGTGTGTGGGAATCAGGATGCCAGGTTCTTACCCTATTCTGCCACTACCCCGCTGAGATACTTGAAACAAGTCCCAAGACACTCTAGATGTCTGTTTCTGCATTTGTGAAGTGAGGAACTTGGCCAGGGGATGCTTGAGGTGCTTTCTGGTTTTAGGGTTGGAGAGCCAGAGGCTCCCCTTAGGGCCCTGGCCAGGGCAGGTCTGGGCTTTACCTAGCCCACCTGGCTTGCAGGGGAAGTTGCCCCACACCATTTGGTTATGCTAGCATAGCACCTTCCCTTTCTTGTCAACTCAGATGCCTACTCAGCCTCAAGCCCCTTCCCCCTAAATGCAGAGTCACTTTCCAAAGTCCACTTCCTCTTCACTCCTGGTGTTCCTCAACTTCTCCTAGAGTATCTCTGCCTCCCTGTACTCTAGGACCAGCATGAGTCCTTGATGGTGTGGGAAGATTCCAATCAGAAGCCAAGATTGCTGTTTCCACAGCCCAGTATCTCAGAGAAGGCAGCGGATCCCTGCCTTTGCAGCCAGCTGGAACTTCCAAGGGGAGAAAGGACTCTCTTTAGTATAGAGGGCCTCTACTGTTTCAGGACAGTGTGTGCTGGAGGTTTGTGGGGACGAGTGGGATGATGGGGGAGCTAGCACCTTTTGACTTAATGGTAGGAACTTTGTAACCATCCTCTCCTCAAGGATATGCATTCCAATTCTTATAGGTAGGTTTTTTTTGGCTCAGAAGAGAAAATCAGAGTGGTCTCAATCTGCTTGTTCCCTAGTCATCATGGTGTGCCGAGGTCAGAGCTCCTGAGGAAGCAATAGAAAACTGAAATTATATCTCACTCAGAAGTTCTGTGTCAAGGCCTAGGCTCCTGGATTTTAAATAGAAACATTGACAAACTTGAGTGTTCTTAGAGGAGCATATAAGGAGGAATTAGGAAAGCATTAAGGTCCAAATGGTTTATGAAGTACCTCAACTAAGGAGACATACTGGCTGGGAGAAATGGCAGCAATGTAGTCAACTTTGTCTAGTTCTTCCCAACTCTAACCTACTTGAATTGTTATGTGCCTTTATTCTCTTTTCATACAGGTGTCAGACTTAGGATCAATAGGGAGAACCCACAGGGAGGCAGACTTGGAGCTCAACACCAGTAAGATCTTCATTTAAGTAAGTAAACATTTACTGAGCACCCACTGTGCTGACATGGCATGACTCAAATTGAGGAGAAACAGCTGCAAATATCCATCAATAATAGGAACATGGAATCTATGAAGTATGAATCTAGGAAAATTGGAAGTTGTCAAAAATGAAATGGAACGCATAAAGATTGATATCCTAGGCATTAGTGAGCTGAAATGGACTGCTTTTGGGCATTTTGAATCAGACAACCATATGATCTACTATGCTGGTAATGACAATTTGAAGAGGAATGGCGTGGCAGTCATCATCACAAAGGATGTTTCAAGATCTGTCCTGAAGTACAATGCTATCAGTGATAGGATAATATCCATACGTCTACAAGGAAGACCTGTTAATACTACTATTATTCAAATTTATGCACCAACCACCACAGCCAAAGATGAGGAAACTGAAGAATTTTATCAACTTCCGCAGTCTGAAATTGACTGAACATGCAATTAAGATGTGTCGCTTATCCTGGTGATTGGAACACAAAGTTGGAAAAAAAGAAAAATCACCATCAGTTGGAAAATTTGGCCTTAGTGACAGAAATAACACTGGAGATTGCATGATAGAATTTTGCGAGATCAACAACTTATTCATTGCAAATACCTTTTTTCAACAACACAAACGGCAGTTGTACACATGGACTTTGCTAAATGGAGTACACAGGAATCAGATTGACTACATCTGTGGCAAGAGGCAACGGAAAAGCTCAATATCTTCAGCTAAAACAAGGCCAGGAGCTGATTGTGGAACAGACCATCAACTGCTCATATGCAAGTTCAACTTGAAGTTGAAGACAATTAAAACAAGTCCATGAGAGCCAAAATATGCTCTTGGATATATACCTCCTGAATTTAGAGACCATCTAAAGAATAAATTTGATGCATTTAACACCAATGACTGAAACCAGAAGAATTGTGGGATGACATCAAGAGCATCATCCATGAAGAAAGCAAGAGGTCCTTAAAAATATGAGAAAGAAAGGAAAGACCAAAAGACCAGAAGAGACTCTAAAATTTGCCTGTGAGCAAAGAGTAGCTAAAGTAAATGGAAGAAATGACAAGATACAAGAGCTGAACAGAAGACTTCAAAGAGTACCTCAAGCAGACAAAGCTAATTACTATAATGAAATGTGCAAAGACCTGGAGTTAGAAAACCAAAAGAGAAGAACACGCTCGGCATTTCTCAAGCTGAAAGAACTGAGGAAAAAATTTAAGCCTTGAGTTGCAATATTGAATGATTCTATGGGCAAAATATTGAAAGATGCAGGAAGCATCAAAAGAAGATGGAAGGAATACACAGAGTCACTGTACCAAAAAGAACTGGTATATCTTCATCCATTTCAGGAGGTGGCATATGATCAAGGACTAATAGTATTGAAGGAAGAAGTCAAAGCTGCACTGAAGGAACTGGTAAAGAACAAGGCTCCAGGAATTGACAGAATATCCACTGAGATGTTTCAACAAATGGATACCTCACTGGAGACAGTCACTTGCCAAGAGATTTGGAAGACAGCTACCTGGCCAACTGACTGGAAGAGATCCATATTTGTACCCATTCCAAAGAAAGGCGATCCCACAGAATGTGGAAATTATCAAACAATATCATTAATATTGCATACAAGTAAAATCTTAACTGAAGATAATGCAAAAAGCAGTTGCAGCAGTATATTGACAGAGAACTTCCAGAGGTGCAGGCTGGATTCAGAAGAGGATGTGGAACAAGGGATATATTGCTGATGTCAGATGGATCTTGGCTCAAAGCAAAGAATACCAGAAAGATGTTGACTTGTGTTTTATTGACTATGCAAAAGTATTTGATTATGTGGATCATAACAAATTGTAAATAACATTGAGAAGAATGGGAATTCCAGAACACTTAATTGTACTCATGAGGAACCTGTACATTGACCAGGTGGCTGTTGTTTGAATAGAACAAGGGGACACTGAATGGTTTAAAATCAGGAAGGGAGTGCATCAGGGTTGTATCCTTTCACCATACTTAATCTATATGCTGAGCAAATAATACAAGAAGCTGGACTATAGTCTTCTTCATATATGAAGAAGACTATAACATCAAGATTGGAAGACTCGTTAACAACCTGTGATATGCTGACGACACAACTTTGCTTGCTGAAAGTGAGGATGACTTGAAGCACATACTAATGAAGATTGAAGAATACAGTCTGCAGCATGGATTACATCTCAATATAAAGAAAACAAAAATCCTCACAACTGGACTTGTAAGCTGCATCACGATAAATGGAGAAAAGATTGAAGTTGTCAAAGACTTCACATTGCTTGGTTCTACAATTGGTTCTACAGTTGACACCAATGGAAGCAGCACTCAGGACATCAGATGACGTATAGAAGTGAGGCCCACTTGAAACCAGCCAGCCATCAGCCAGGTTCTATCAGACAAGCTCAGGCCAAGATACCGCCCCATTTGAGGTAAAGGATTCAAAAGGCTTGTGGGATGGACAGTGGTTTGGGAGGATGTAGTGCCTGAGTTATTGTACCAGGGCCAATAGAGTGGTAGAAGGAGGGCAAAGGAATGCCCAGACTATTTTCCCACCTGAACCCTGTCTCAGATCCCTCTCCAACTCTTTTTGTGCAGGTGTATGGTATTTTACCTGGAAGAAGAGGAGTGAGGCACACACCTTTACTCATCCTTCACTCCCAAATGGCTATCTCCAAGCAGCTGGCCTCATTCTGTTCTCTTTTCCCTTTCTTCCCTTTATTCTCTCTACCACGGTTCCGTACATTGACCTTACTCCTTCTCTTGCCCTTCCTCACTAAGCCTTCCCTTCCTGTGTCAGATTAAAGCATTTTTTCCTACTCTTTTTTCTCTCTCAACTCTGCAAGCCCCAGGAGCACAACAGAGCATCTGGATTTACCTTTTAATTAAGTGAGTTTAGATAACTTGCTCAACTTCTTTAAGGAAATCATAATTGTATATATTTCATGAGGTTGTAAAAATTCAATCATAACATACATGTCAAGCACTTCACATATAATAAATGCTCAACAGACACTTCTATTATTGGTTATGGGTTATATGAACTTG